GATTAATGCACCCCTTAAAATATTCTTTTTTTCCCGGAATTCATTCCATAGTTCCGTGGTTGTCAGGTGGGGCACCTCCGGGGGGTTGGGCTCCTTGGGTGCCAAGTAGGGCAGCCCACGGGGGGTTAATTTCCTTGGATGTCAGGTGGGGCACCGGGCACCCCTGAGGGTTGGCCTCCTCAGATGCAAAGGGGGGTAGCCCCTGGGGGTTGGGCTTCTTGGATGCCATCCNGGGGGGGGGGGGGGGGGGCTACTCGGATGTCATGTGGGGCACCCCCAGAGGTTTTGTTCCCTGAAAAACACGTATCACATTGCTGTGATTCGTACCTTCGACCTGGGACAATGATTTGCCTTCAATTGGCCGGCTATGCAAAATGATTGTCGGAACGCACGAATAGTGGTATCAGAATTTCGTATTAAGATTAGGCCGTAGGTTGAAGGCGCTCTTCTGTATCGTATCCAAGTGATCCTGTAGAATGGTGTTGAACAAAAATGTTCATGAATTTCGGAGTCTTCAAGCGAGGCGTAATTTTGAAAAATGCCCGAAGTAGACTATTTTACCTTCTAAGATTTTTGTTTATCTGTAAGTCTTATTTCAAAAAATTAAACAGTTGGAACTGGTTGAAAACTGTATTTCTATCATGTTGCAAAACATGATAAGAAACATTGTCGGTATGACAATGATATATGTGCCGCAGTGTGAAATTTTTATAGCTCCACATGAAACTGAGTTGCCTATTGACTCTTTAACCCTAAAAATTTCAAAGAAAAATATTGATAGCATTTTTCTTGAATAAATGATTTGTTTGAGGAAATTTGGCAATATCCAGATGATCATGAGACTTCCCTGCTTAGTATACAGCAGAATGCATCATGGAAGAAAATAATATTTGGAAGTGATATTATTAAATGTTCTTTGTGAACGATAAAGGGATCCTATACCTTTCCCACCTGCCACAATGGACCACTGGACAAGGTACAAATTTCAGCATTCTGATACATGCTTCTTAACCAAAATTTTGCGTAGAACACGATGCGCACAACGAAAATGACCAAAATCAACTTATGAAGATATTCAATAATTTTTGATGCGTGAATTCAAACTATCCGCTAACGTTTATCATGACAGTCTCTGCAATAATCTGGCAACCTCAATCTTGACGCTTTGGCTCAGCTATAGCAAATTACCTATGGTTTGAACGACACATGGTGGGAAATGAACATTGCTCCATTGAGAAGATGCTGAAACCGTTGTAGTGCGTGATTTGACTCTCGTAGAGCTTTGAGTTTCTTGTGAGCGGGCAGTTCAAATTCCTCATAACCAATGTGGAAGAAAACATTAATATCTTCGTTAGGAGTTGATTTCAGTCATTTCCGTAGCGCAAATGTGTTCTGCATGAAATTTTGGTTGAGAAACATGTATCAGAATCCTTTAATTCGTACCTTGTCTACTGGTCCATTAGAGAGATTGAATTAAAAGGTACAAAATAGGAAAAAATAAGGAGAATACTAAGTATGGATTATTTTTCAAAATGCAATGTAATTTTCAGGTGGAATGAAAAATAAGTTCAGAGTACAAAAACTTGTAAGACTAGTGATTTACATAAAAATTTCAATGAATTATAAAGCTAAACAATGAAAGTTATTGAAATTTTGTCAATCACCAAAGTACTTGAACTTAAGTAGTCCAAATTAGTAAAATGATCCCTGGCTGAAATTTTGAAAGAGATCAGGTAGAAAGTATATTATATGACTTTAAATAATTCTCAAAATCATATCTAGGTAGGTCACTATGACTAGAGTAATAATAAA